TGTCGATCCCTAGTGTGAGCGTATGTGGCATGGAGATAGGGGCGCCTTCTAAACCTTGTGGGTTTTCTCCGGTTTCTTCCCACAAGAAAGACCCTTGCGCGTACGTTAATACAATACAAATGAAAATATAAGACAACTATGACGGCAATGTCACCCTAACAGGTGGATAGCGGCACCGTTTGACATAACTTGTAGAATATGTCTAGCCTCGTTCTTCGAGTCCCTTGTTACAAATAGCGCTGAAAATCATTCTGGTACACGATTTGCGTGCTAATGGTAAAGTGTTTATTTTGTCTCAAATATTGGATATCAGAAGCCCATCTTTTCCCGGTAAGATCACAACATCAATGTTGATTTAAATTGAAAAATAATTCGTGTTTTCAATGTCAAAGACTGTGAATGATGTTGAGTTAAAATCTTAGCTACTTTAAATATAATGTGTTATGTAAGTCGACAAACTGCACCTTGAATTCTTTCAGTATAATCAATATATTGTGAGTTGAACGAGTCGGTTTGTTATTTTTTTTTTTATTTTCTGTTTCATTCATTCGTCTCCTTGTTTATCTCATGGAATAAACCATAAACGGCTGTAGGAACTCTGTAAATAGACGCGTTTGTACACGGTAAACAAAAGAAACTTGATGAATTAATGGATGAAGACCGGTGAACAATTTTAAAAATGCTCTTTGAACGTGAAACAACAGATTTATGTTAGCGTTTGTCATTGTGTTATATTCTCGTTTGCTTTGCCTTTCTCGCTCAGTCTTGCCAGATTCCGTTCACGCTATTTAAAAGCTCGCCCATTTGATTAAGCCATGTCCTTTATTAATAAAAAAGATGTTGTGAAGTGTGAAATGAATTGATGAGATATAAAATTGCTTTAGGATTATTTTAATAAAGCCGGATTAGTTGCTGCGTGGGATTTGATTAAAGTTAGAGAATGCGTCGGAATTTTTTTTAAGGGGCGTAGAATTATAGGACAAATCTCCCACCAGTCCTGTTTTGATCTCTTGTTCCAGGAAATGCGGATTACTGGTTTAATATTACAGATACGTTTTCATTAAACCGCTACTAAACCCTGATTATCGTATTATATGAAATATTTGTTTAATCTGGATTATACTTATAGTATAATCTCTAATCTGATTATTCGCTGAATAGCTGTAAAATTGTTTATTAGATAGTAAATGGTCTAAAATATATTGAAAACATCCTATATAGAGAGCGAAAATGAAATGGGGGTTTAACGTCCTACTGTTCTACTCCGTCTGGGCTAATAAAGTCTACTATTGGTTGGGGGGGGGGGGGCGGACAGCGGCACAACGCCTATTCTTATATTGAATTTTAACTGTCAAGAGGTCTTTTTACATACACGCCAATATGTACACGGGATCTTGGTTTTCCATCCCATCCGAACGACTATACGTTGTCCCTTGCCAGGCCCTCACCCCGCTCTACTGACAAGGCGGAACGACGCCGGACAATTCCCGATGAATTTTCTCGGCCATAGCATAAATCGAATACACGACCAACGACTTACCCACTGAGCCAACGTGGCCCCCCTATATAGAGAGACAGGCATATATAGGAATGCTTATATAAACAGAATAAACAAAAAACTTTACATTCGATAAAGACGCTACAATTATTGTGCATGAACGTTAATTGCTCCCCATCACTGTGCAGCTTCTAAAACGCTAAAATATCCAAAACATGTCTACAGCCCGTATAGCTAGTGGCATCACCAAATCTATATCTGTATTGTTATTTCTGGACTCTTCTGTGGTTGTAAGGTTTGCTAGATTTATTATTCCGTGCCGTGTTTCTTTCAAACCGGAAGACCACCTTGTGTCTTCGAGATGTATGTGAAGGAAAATGTTGAAGATATTTGTGTTTGCTGTCATGATTAAAAACACTTGAAATAAATTGTGAAATGTCGAAGCAACCTTCAGGCATTTTGTTTTGTTGAGCATTTCTAAGTAGTAATATGTATATCAATGAACTCTCGATTTCATTGATAACAAAGATATACCATGTGACCAAAACTTGTACAATATACTGGGATAATAAACCTCGGATATTCAAAGCAAAACAAATGTCCCCACTCCTCCTCTCCACCCCAAGTTATCCTTAGATATTTTTCGAACCTCTCCCGCATTAGAAATGCGCCACCCTATTAAAACCCTATTAAAATCCATCCCCACCCCCTTTGTAACATTTAATGTTAAATCTATCAGTTTGGGCGACTTATCGTTTATTCTCTTGCTGCCTGAAAATGAAGATTAGCAACTTTTGCTGACAGATCTGGATACCAACAATATACCCTCACTTTGCAATATAGTTGGTGTATAATAGAGAATTATGTAATTTTATACAATCATTTTACGATCATCACTACTGATATCGATCGAGGTATGGGGCATTACTTAAACTCCACAATTTGAATCCTGTAGATTGTGGTTTGTCGACCTATAAAGCGACAGGGACTTCATATTCGCCCCAATCAACCGGATTAACAACTGGTCTTCAGATAAAATCTGTTTATCCACATAGTGTGAACGCAGCTAGAGTTTAGATATCCTGACTGTGACATCTTGCCCCCCACCCACCCACACACACACAGACATATCGTTACCCTACAGTTTAATGCCTTGGTGTTCAATACAAAATCTGTACTTCTTAAATCGTTATAACAGTGACACTCGGTCTATGCAAGGGGGTGATGGTGGCTAAGTGGGTAAGACGCTGGCTTGCTAGCCTGGAAGTCGCGTGTTCGATCCCTGCATTGCCGAGAAAGTTCATCCAGACCTTTCGGTCTTTGTCCCCCTTGTCAGTGATGGAGGGCCTGACAAGGACAGCTGTCTAGTCGTTCGGATGGGAAGGAAAACCGAGGTCCCGTGCACACATTGGCGTGCACGTAAAAGATCCCTTGACGGTTGGAATTCGATATCGTAGTGCCGCTGTTCGGGCAAGATTCCCCCCATAGCACAGTGTATGACGTATGCTCGTCTTCATTAGCCCAGTTCGAAGCAGAATAGTAGGACGTTGAACCCCATTTTATTTCATTTCAGAACAATTTGTCGTGGTTCAAAATTGGCAATTAATTTACTGTGTTAAGTGAATTGTTACGTTGAACATGTCTTATCAGAAAGGAGAGCATGCCAGAAAAAGGAAACGGTACACCCATGACATTTAAAACATGGAAGTGTTACGCAAGAGAACAGACACCGGTCGACAAGTAAATCTTGGTATTACTGTTTCATAGTCTAACATATCGTCTTATTAGGTAGGGTTAAATGCATAGAATTGCATAGTATCAAGTTTAAAATGCATGCTATAAGAAGGTTAGCAGACAGAGAAGATTTGATATTATCAGATCCATCTTCGTACCGCATATGGCTTTATTGGCGCGAGACGTAAAAACTTATTCATGTTATTTGAAATACATCATTTGGTGTGCATATGTATCATGCATATAGTTTGATTGAATGCTATAAATATAGCTTACATAGCGACAAGAAATCGAGATCTTTCCTCAAATTCCCGAGTTGTTTTCAATATAATGGTACTGATAGCCACTTATATAGATAGTGTGTGTTGTAACTGCATGAGAAGACAGGATTTTGTGGTTTAGTTTAATAAATTAACAATATTGCTACCTTAAACTGAAATAAATGATTAACATTGTTTTCAATTTCTTGTGCCATTCGGTAGCAATCTTGGTTGGAGACTTTGTTTTACAGCCAACTGGTGATTACGTATTAGGAATAACATGACCCTTTTTGTATCAATTACATAATCCTACAATCGTTCCAAACCAGCAGTCTAGATCAATAGCCGCGTGTGTCCACGGTTCCATATCTATTGATGTTTATATTTATAGCCCAGATAAGGTGTGTGGCCTGGGTGATCTCGGCTACTTCTCATGAGTAGTGAAATAAACTTAAATAAGGCCCAGTAATGGCTACAACAATCAAGATCTCATTGATCGGGGCTTCAAGACACCTTTATAATTCTCGGAGGCATATATGGGTGAGAACAGGTCGTTATTTCCATCTCAGCTATTTGCAAACAACTTTCTGTTTTGTTTTGTTTTGGTTTGCATGGACTAGATTTATAGCACCTCTCTCTCCCTTTCCCCTCTTTTGCATTGCTATATTCGTTGAATATTTTGGTTTAAAATCGAAAAAGAGTGTTTGAATTTATATTTTCTGCCAGGTTTTGGTGAATATTCATGATTTTGAGGCTGAAGAGTTCGGAAATAAAGCTATAGATTACTTTGACTATGTCAAGCTAGCTAGTAACTAATCGAAACTGTCAACCTCCTTCAATATTTTTTATTCAGATGTTGGGATCGTTGTGGTTATAAAGATCACCAGAATGCTAAAATAAATGTTACTGACCAAGAAATGTCACGGATTTAACGTTGAAGTCAATGGAAGAGATTTACTAGTCTGACTCCGTACAGCTGTATTGTAACTGGAACCATCTTCGCAAGTGTCACGTGACACTGATATTTTAATCACGCATTGATTTGGGTGTGGCTATAAATGAGAAAACCTCCATATAGCACCGAAAGATATTCTGTCACCAACCTCTAAATATTTATATCTGCTTAGTGGTTTCGGAGATAAACTGGGGTATAATGGGAGCTCGCATAAATTTATAGGCAACCCACCTTTAAATAAAGTTTAACGTCTGACTTTTCTGCACCAATCGGGTTTTGCTGGAAATCTGCCCGAATAGCAGCATTCTTGCATATGTTTTGTCCAACTTTTAAAGTGTTCCTTACGTCCAAGCCAACACGTACACAGTAGACCTCTCGTTTACATTGCATCCGAACAACCAGACTTTTTTCCTTTGCCAGGACCATGGTACTGCACCACTGACATTGTCAACATCAGGGTCAAACGCGAGAACCCCTGGTTTGTGAACCAACGTCATACTCACTAAGCCATTGTAGCTCCTTAAAAGCTCAAATAACAAGAAAAACGTGTTACGATAACAAAGTTGAGTTTATTTTCAATGAATTAGATGATTGACAGTCGTGTATGATGAATGTTAATAGAAATGTACACTGAGGGGATGGGTTCACAATTTATACAAAGGTTAACAACGGGGCTTTTAAAAGGTAGGTAATTTACCCATTTCATAAAATTCGTTTTAATAAAATTCAAGTATTATTGTTAAGTCCTGATGTTTGTATTAGAATGAATGGATCAAAATCCAGTGTAAGTAATGTCTGTGTTAAAACAAATACTATGGACCAGGAACCAAGCATGACGTCATCGCCGCCATCTTAGAATTGTGACAACATATCTTACTTGTCCAAGGAACAAGCGGGTCAAGTTTAATGTCGACCAGATAAGAAGCGTTTGTCCCTGGTCCAAACAGCAGAGGAACCAAAATTATTAGTATAGTACAATCTTGAACATTAATCAAAATGTGTCGGCTTGTCATTTTGTTTTCGTTGATTTGTTTATCATTTGTATTTATTCAGTAGACCTGTAATTGTGTCTTAATACAAAATAACTGATATCTACAGATCGCATTTGGTGTGAGATAATTAATAGAGGTTTCAAGGTATAGGTCAGGTAAAGATGACTACTAAAGGCTAAACACCTGTGATGCCGAACATACAAAGTCAAGTTATAAAATAATAAATTAGAATTAATATTCTCGAGATAACAAACAATATAGTAATTTATGCGAATTTGTACAAACTTATTTTAAATAAATATACAAATTATCTCCTCTTGTTGACACCTGTGGTTTTATCGTTACTACTCTTATATAACGCAGCTGAGAGATCGTACATTGTTTATCAGAACTCTGTATTTCTGACTTTCGTTCTATTTCCGCCAAATTCCACTTTCAGTCACAGAAAATAACAGTAATTAGAGGTACAGTTAATTGCACGCAATTTTGACAATCCATTTCTTATTTACACAACCCATCATAATTTTAAAAAACAGGCCATAACATTTCCCCGTATTACGAGTTTCCGCAACACAAAGATGGAACTAGGCTAGTTTCTTATAGGTAAACGCCTTTCAGTCGAGCAGTTGTTAAGTTTCTGTTCAGTCTGCTCTACGTTCTACGTAGCACACAGAAAGATCACACGTCACTTTCTTATCACATATAGTTCCTCTTGAGCAACAAGCAAAGTTATTCAATCACAAACGAAATAACTTTTAAGTTTACATAACAACTTCTCCGACAAAGGCGCATTAACCGATTTTGTGCGTTTATTGCTTTCATGGCTGTAAATCATAGTTACAGTGTCAGTTAGCTAAATTTCAATCACAACTTACGAAACCTTTAATGGCTTTGTCTTCAGTCACTCCGAGCCTGTCGTGACACCCGAAACATAGTCATCTTCGTATTCGCTGAATCCCTTACAGATGCGGCATCTGAAAATCCTTTTAAACGCCGCCTTAAAACTGCGGTTAAAGTAATAATAAAGGAATGGGTTCATCATGGAATTGATGTATCCCAACCAAAGGGCAACAATCCAAATGTTATATGGAATTTTATATCCAATTAAAGGGTCAATAACGTTGAATATAAAAAACGGAAACCAACACACGCTAAAGCATCCCATAATAATTCCCAATGTTTTCGCTGCCTTAGTTTCCTGTTTGAATTTTCCCTTTCCCTTACTGTTGCCGACAACATCCAGACTTCGGATCTGCATTGCCTGACGTCTGGCGGCCATGTAAATTTTGATATTACAAATGATCATGAATACGACAGGAACGTAGAAAGCAACAGCTGAACAGACGATGGCGAACGCAATATTGACGACGAATACGCACATCTGAGCTCCGTCCGGAAATAAACACTTATAGTAATCCTCTATACCAATGAGATTCCATTCATTCATAATGGGAATGAATGAGATAGAGACGGGAAATACCCAACACGTGATCAACATCATCATTACAATGTTTTTCGTCATGCGTTCGTGTAAAAATGGCCGACATATTGCTAAGTAACGGTCTATGGCCAAACAGGAAAGGTGGAATATAGAAATAGTGCATAACATCACATCAAAACTTGTCACCACTATACACATACTGTATCCGAGTGCCCATGCCTTATTATTCAACTGTTGATAAATAGAAAAAGGCATAACAATTACAGCGACACCTATATCCGCTATGGCTAACGACACCACAAACGAATTAGTAATGTTCCTTAGTCTTCTATGTGTCGCAAAAGCGGTGATCACAATGCCATTACCAACTATTGTCGTTATGGGGACGAACATTAAAATTGCACCGATGACGTATCGAACGGCAGCAGAATAAAACGGCGGTGGTCCGGCCTTATCCGCGAGAATAACATCACACGACAAATTGGACATTTTCGTAAAATATGATATTTTAAGAAATAAATAAAACAGTCTCAAAATTTGAATACCACGCGGCTATCACTGATAAAAATGTTCTTCTGAGGCAAGTAATTCCATCTTCGCTCAAAGTTCTTAAAATATAGAGATGTTTCCTGTGCCCCAAGAGTCAGAAATCTCACAATCTGGAAAGATCCTTACAGCCGGCACTAATATACACCTGAAAAAATAAGAAGAAAATTGCTATAAATAATGAAGAGAAATGGTGGAGCTTGTAATAAAAGATATAATGGAAACAATGCCGTATCGATTTTGGTTGAGATCCTGCGACAAGAATTATTATGTTTTTAAAGATTTTAAGCATTAGAAAAACCTTTAATGTCAGTTTTACACCCCACCGATATTAGCTTGTTACTTTCACACGTAGTTAGATCTGCTATTACAATCTGGTGACTTTAAATAAAGATATCGATTCTAGAAGTACGTGTAACTTTTCTATTCCTGTAAACCTAAAACCGATTCCCATTATGTCATTTGGTCATGTCGAGTCTGTTTTCTTGTTTATCCAAGCATTAAAACATGATGAATGAAGACGTACCATAAAAAATGTTCTACGGTCCATACCTTAGTCGATCTATATTAAAACACAGCATCATGACAAAGAACATTTTAATGAATGCTATCTATAGAGAATTGGCAGGGATTACGCCACTGAAATGTGCTCTAATCGATTTCTGAATGCTCTGTACATTCTTTGTCATTACCTGTCTATCGCGTATATTTCAAAGCGAATACATATCTTTGTTATAGTAGATATATATAGTATATCAGGTTAGGCTGACCCGAGGAGTCCACATAAAAGAGTCATTGAGAGTTAGGATTTCCACGAAGAGTAAACAAAAACCCTATCTTCTGGCAAAGTTTATGCAAATAGCACACTGCATAGCGCATGCCCGTCTTCATTAACCCGGTTGGTGCAGAAATACAGACTGTTAAACCCTATTTCATTTATCACCCGAGGACATTGCTCTTTATGATGCTATTTTGATTTTAATGTTGACTGTTACAAACAACATGATATCAATAACGAAACGGATAACACACCTAGAAGTAGTGGTGGTTATTGGAAACCAGAGTACCTAGGTCAGTTATACTAGACAGGGCAATATTACTCTTTTTAGAACATCTGACACCACTTCTCATTAAGGAGTTTGTATAAATAATGTAATTTGATTGCACTTCGGAATATTTAATATTGATACTACGTCATTATTATATGGAAATTAGCTAACACTGAGCAAAGAGAACCAGACTCCATCATTGCATACTGCCTTGTTCTGATGAACATTTTTGCTTCCCGTATTACATTTATGAAATAAAATAATTTGGGGTGTTACCGTCCTACTGTTGGACTCCGACTGGAGCATTACATATAAAGTACAATGTTATAATTCAATTATTGTGCACATACCTACCTACCCGCTGATCTCTTAATAGAAAATTGACAGAATTAGAATTTAAATTCAATTTTAAATTCATTATAGAATTTGAATATAAACATGATGTGACTTAATATGGTCCATAGAGAATCTCTAATGATTTCATCATGGGAGGCACCATAGTGAGCTTTTCTGTCTGAAAATTAATATTTCGTGCTATTTAGTAAGTTCTGTCTGGATTTTCATTATTCATTCTCGAAATTAATTCCGCGTATGATAACATCGCCATTTTGTTATACCTTCTCCCGGGTTAAGTTTAATGAGATTGGTAAAGCAATTTGTGTCAAGTTAATGTTAATTCGCATAGAACACTTCATAGAACTGATTTCGGAAACACCTTTTGGCCCGAATGTATTTTTCAAAATGCGACAATCCAAAAAGAAAATTAATCTCAAGATTGCCTATGTAGTCCTATTTATCGTCTGGATTTGTTAATGTCTAGGAATTTCTAAACCATATTTTGAAACTATGCAGTTAGGGTTATACTGCACTTGTATTAATAATATACCCTAGAGAGTTATATCTAGAACCCCATGTCAAATAGTCCCGAGTGTCCCATAATCGTCTGCACACTATATAAACCTATTTTGGGTAAATATTGTTTTGATCGGCTTCGTCGTAATCTGATTGCATCCTGTTTTAGAGATTACATATCTTTGATATTGAGGTTTTGTTTTCTTCATTAGATGTCCAATAATGAATTTGAGTACAATTTAATGATGATTAACTCGAGAAAAATTAGATGATGTTCTTAAAATACAAATGATGAACCGTGACTTTAATTAAATCCAGCAATGCGCTTTTCGGTACTCTGAACCCGCGCAAATATATCGGGTGAGGTTGGGGAAGTGCATTCTTCAGATCAGGGCGTGGTTACTGCCCGCACTTTTGTCGCCTGACATTCTTTTAGGACTATTTCATCCCGTTTCACGCCGTGCAGAACGGTAATAATAGCGGTGCTGTTGTGCATAAACCATTTTATTGTATCAATAGCCGTATCCAAAGTTTTCGGGCACATATTGACCGGCTTCCTTATCTTGACAACCCTGACAAAATTTCTTGATTACTTGACGGTTTATATGGTCATCTGAATAATCATTAAAGGCTCGCGAGGCTATAAGTAACACACGATAGGCCCAATCAAGGAGACTTTCTTCATAACCTTGGAGCAAATTCTGAAATTGCGTCATAGCGGTTTCAGGTAACTCCTGGTTTCCAAACCATTTCTCCATTTTCAACTTTAATTCAAAGGAAGTTAAATTTGCATTTCTTTCTGTCATATTAGTAAAGAACTCACTTGCTTTACCTTCCAAGCAAAAGCATAATTGGTCCCTACTTTATAGATCAGATCAACCTTGTATAGTTGAGAACCGAATAAATTTATTAGAGAAAGCCTGGCAGCTTGAATTACCATCGCATCAAAGCATAATGCTTTAGGTATAAGAGACACACGACGTGGGGGTGGCCGACGATCGTCACGGCTGCTATCGTTACAGACGGACATGCTAAGATTAATACAAACCCCTTTAATTAGAACTAGACTTTGACTAATAGGGAGTCACGGTGTCTCAGTGAGTAGCCCGGCAAGGGACAACGTATAGTTGTTCGGATAGTGTGAAAAACCGTGTAAACATTGTCTTCATTAACACGGTCGGAGCAAAACAATATGACGCTAAACCCCATTTCATTTAATTTTTAAGACTAACACATCAACCACTTCACCACCTATTATATAAATTCCACCATAGTATAATATGGTAGGCAAGCATCCATTTTGCTGTTTAATGAGTTCTAAAACCAAGAAAAAGAAACGATAGTTGAAGGGAAACGACATGGAATCTTCCGTTAGAACATATAAATCATGATGCGCTATGTTGAAATACTTCGCCAAATAAAACCAATTAGGCACTGCTCATCGCCTTTTTATATCCAGGTTGTCTATTTCTCTTGGAACAGTTCCATAGTATGTCTTGCTAGAATGCCTTCCTTATATATCAAAAAATAGTATGAAAGAAAAAACGTACACATTCTGATAATTAAGAACAATTTTTTTCATCATGACCATGCGTGAATTCTTTAAAGATATTTCTAACATTGATGTTAAACGATTTTGACATAAGTTCATTGACTTTTTCTCAACATACCGCGGTCAAAATCTACTATGTTCTTCTTAATTTTTCGTTCGGATTTAAAACAAATGAGTTTTCACTTTTTAAATTAAATGTTGGAATGTGATATCCGTAAATAGGAATAGTCATCAGGAGTTTTTGAAGATAAAGCACACTCTGTCATAACCTCGATACGAATTATCACAGGTTAAAACTGAATTAAATCTATAGAACCTTCAAAATTCTTTTATATTAAATAGAAAAGGCATTTACAAATTTCCTATAAGCAAGGGTGACAACTCCTCCTGCAAGTTTACCTCACCAGTTTGGCAGTTGTGAAGCCTGTTTCTTCGTGGCAAATGGCCTTAATTTCCGACTTAAAATAAAACCGGAACAAATCCAAAGCAGATAACTCACTAACACGGACATATATATATGTCTGAGCCGACTCTTTAAGCGAGCATTCTAGTCTGCGTTTGTCTTTAACTACTACTAGTGTGATTTGAAATGATGACGTCTTTGACATGCTGTGAAAATTGGAAACTTATGAACAAAGAAAGATGTTTATCTTTCCATAAATTGCATCGGATATTATGTTTCTTGTATGCTTTTAATTAGGAAAAACACTCTACAAATAATTAACAAGGGGTTTTCTGAAATATAAATCAATACTGCTTTTTAATAACTAATGCACATTTGGAGGCGTTGATTGAAAGTGTTCATACTCCTGCTCATAATAACAGATTGACAAATGCATATCTTAATTAAATGCAATTATCAGTGGGATATCTACAACGAAACAACAATAACATCTCAATTATCATCTCCAACATAGAATTACACAATATCACAGTATTTCAGTAGAAACGTCACAGTATGTCCGGTGCTGTATCTTAAAAGGCAAATATAGAATTTGCCTGTTCGTTGAAATTAGTGCCTAATAGAGAGTGAACTAGATTCTTTGAAAGCGAATCAAAATAGAAATTTTCAGTATATAACGTTTGCTTGTATTTAACACAGATATATAGATATGCAGGTTATCAAAGAGTTTTAAATTACGTTCAAAGTATCACATTATGAAACATTAATGTATTGGCCTTTGTCTTAAAGGATAATATTGGTGTCAGCCTTTATTAGAATTAGAACTGGTTAAAGACATTCGAAGGATAACACGTGTTTGACATTTTTGCGTTACTTCCCGTTTCTTCAAATGTTTGTTACACATCTGTGTGAATTATTTAAAATCCCACGTTCCAATGATATTTTGATTGAGGGTTCTGTTTCGGACGAATCTTTCCAGACCTATCATTTGTAATGGATTTGATATTAGGGCAAAATTAAAAAGCAAAACTATTTTTCACATACGCTTTGTCCATCCGATATTAGATTTATAAAATAATTTTAAATTGATGGGAATGGTAAAATTGCAAATTAACAGATACAAAAGTACAGCCAATGATAAATAATGACACTTCCGCTGTCTCCACTCCACGGATAACGAAACGCAATTTTGCTTCTTCGCGTTAATTACAAATCAGACAGTATGATTATGTATATTAAAGGCTGTGTTTATGCATGTAATCATTTTCCATCCCCGCGCAGAACAGCAGGACTTTAAACCCTATTTCATTTTCCATCCACACGTCTTCATTGTCCCAGTCGGTGGCGAACAGTAGGACGTTAAACTCCATATCATATTATTTCATTTTACGTCAAAACTAAACAAATATGTTATATTCGTGCATCTATATCAAATTGATTTCGGTGTGTTTATCAAGTCAGTTATTTTGTTTATGTGAATATAGTGTTTAAGAAAAATTTCAGTATGCATTAATAATGATTTAAATAGCATTTTAAAAGTACAAAACATAGAAATTTGAACCATATTGTATGCATTACCATAAACTTAAATTCTAACAAATGAACTTTCGCGGGAGTAATTATCTTTATAGTTATCTCAAGTGCATGTTTTCTTCAAATCAAATTAACAAAAAAGTTCAACGCACTTAATCACTGCTAAATGCAAGTAAAATAATTTACAAATATTTTGTAATTGCTTTTTTTTCTGGCAGCTATATTTAGATCGTTCAACATTAACTGAACCCAACTGTACAATGAACGATAGTAAATACAATTACCAGAAACCCTAAATAATTATATGATGGTACTGATTGAGTTGTGGTCTCAATCTAAACATCTCGGTTAAATCAAATAACATTTATCTTATTTCTAATCTTGACATGGCGTAGTGGATCTGATTTAAGTGTACTTTATGTCATTAAATTCATATTGGAAGCAAAATATGTCCCACTAGTAAAAGTATTTGTTGCGAGTTTATGTTTTGATAAGAAGATACATAGATTGGGATAAAGAGGGAGAGGGGGAGTCATTTCGGAACTAACACATTATACAGTTTCATTTCAATAATTCGCTTACGAGTAGGGTCTTCTTTAGAAGCGTTATATAGTAAAAGTATCATTAATACATGTTAATATTATTTTTCTTTTGTTCTGGGTTCGTTCATTTCGAGATTAACATATGGTTCAATTTTATTTCAGTGATTCGTTTTAACAGTGAGATATTAAAAACTGTCATTTAACAAGTTCTTGTTTTGAGTTTGTTTTGTTTAGTTGATAAAGAAACAGTGTCATTAATAAATATTGTTTTCTTTTTCCAAAACACTAGTAATCTAACCATTTTAGTCGAATAGGGATATCGTACCATTAAAGATCATTCAACATACGAATTTTACACATGGTTGCTGAAGATGTATGCTTCATACATACACACGAGTTCTTTCTGAAACACTCGTAACATTCTTCCACTTATTCCATGATATAAATCATGTAATAAGTTTAAATAATTTACAATATTTGCCGGGCGTTTTCTCATATCTTTTAAATATATCAGCAATAAATGAAACCAAATCTAATCAAATTATTACCTTATCTGAACACGCCATTACAGATCTACAGCCGATGGTGCAATGAAAGTGATTCTGTAACCTATAACAACATAACAAATTCTATGTTCCGTGTTCTCTGATATTCCATCCGATCTAACTTTCATTCAAATGAGAAGTAATCAAACCAAATCTAATCCAATTATTACCTTAACTGAACACGCCATTGAAAATCATACAACTAATTGTGCAATAAAAAGAATAATAAAGTGGTCAATTCGAAATTCCGTGTTTACTTATATCCAATTTAACTTTGATTAAAATGTGAAATAATGACATTAAATCTAATAAAATGACTACCTGATCTGTGCACTCCACTGAAAATCACATACCTAATGATTCAATAAAAGGAATTCTACATTCCTTGTTTTCTGAAACCCAGTCCGATCTAAATCCCATTTAATTCTGGCGTGATAGAAAACCCACACAACTTACCTGCTATGATAATATATCATTTCTAATCGAGTCAGCTGTAACAACAGAATCCATAGTAAACCTTGAAGCCATGTAGCATTCTTACACACGACAACCAACCAACCCTTGTAGCATCAGTCGTCGTGATAATCTATTTCAAATTATGCGTGTAAGAAGACTTCGTTGAAGACATATATTCATTTGGCGGTAAGAGGCGTATTCAAGGCGGAGGCGGAACAATTTCTACACAGAAATTATCTTTAAATCATATACATATTTTATTACTATCCATCACGAACGTACATCATCATAACACCCATGTTTACGTTTTGTAAGCAGAATTTATAATAAAATTTGATTTTTTTTCACAATTTTCACAGCTATTGGTCTTCTTCTTGACGTTAGAAATTACCAAGAGGAAACTTTTACATATAAATGTCGTTTATAATCCATCAAGGATGTGACGTCTGTGATGAAATTTCGTCTTCTTATAAATTTTCATATTACGGTTGCTGTTGTGTGTATCACCACGAGTTTCCTACATAATAGTGATAATAATCCTCTACTTATAGTTCGATAATACTAAAAGAGAAGTTTCTATTGCGCTTTTTGAAAGTTTCTCCATTGAACTATGGTAGTCGCCTCTGTAAACAAGAAAGTTTTTATCTGAGCTTTAAATGCATTTAAGGGGTCCATGGTTCTAATGTTGTAAGGTAATGAATTCCACAAGAGATGCGCGCAGAGAATGAGAAAGATGTTTTTGTAATTTCTGATCGTTGAAGTTTGTCTCCACCGTCCACTGGCGAGTCCATCGTGCAAACGAACTAATTGATTAATGAACTAGGGAATTCGCGAAAGCTAGAAAAATCGCATACGCCTCCTTTCACCAGAACTTACAACAGCATGTTGTAGATAAAGGGAATATATTTTTGTGGTAGGTATATTATAAGGCCGATGGCTATGTAATACCATGGAACAAGCTACTTTTAGACACTAACAACTGCACTAATGACATTATCATATGTTCGCAAATGTATCTGAAACAGCCAAGAAATGTTTTATTTGGCACGGGAGTAAAATACTTATGCACTCGTCCTCGAGCATTGAACTACTAGGTGCAAAAATAAGAAAAAAAAGAGAAGGGGGTGGGGAACATCTCATTGTCCTGAAATCGTAGGCCGATTCCAATGAGAATAGGTAATTTGGTAACATGAGTAAATGCAGAAAGCTATGAAATAAAGCAATGACGTGTCATGGTTTTAATTAACCATATAGAACTAGAAATAATATTTTGACACTTAAAACAGCAGAAAGCCGATTCCTGCAAGTTCTATGATTGACGGCAATCATTCCTCATTACTGATGTATGCAGCCAAATACAATAATCGTGTTATTCCCGTTGGTAATCGAATTAAGAAATGCAATAATCACAGAAATGTAATTACATCATGAAGAAAGTGGCGTACTGTAAAGGTTAAACCAAAGTGGGAAATGGTTAACAAAAAAAAACAGTGACTGATAGTTCTTCAGGTGCCGAACTTGGAAACAAATTATACATTAGGAATCATCAAAGGAATAACTCCACTGATAAATGTGTTTTTATTTACATTGTATGTTCTTGGTGTTGTTTTCATGGTGTAGGAATTCAATCACCACAGCTTTTCACTTACCGCACTAGCTTAATAAGATAGTGACGGCATGCAGTTGTTCATATCTCAAACATGAGTTAAGTAAAAAAATCTAAGGATTGTCGTTGGTTTCAGGATTCTAAACAAATAGCCCTTTTTCATGTAGACTTTATAACTTGTGTTTAAAGTCACAAATCATCATTTGCATTATCTGAACAGTATCTAATTTATCTTTTAGGGCAAAATCTATTTTAAATTGTACAAAATTAATTCAATGCAAATCGTCTGACGGGATCGCTGATTGATGTCGTAATTCGAAATATTCCAAAAAACGGACTACTCAAAACGTTTTTAGCTTGAAGTAATAAGGAAATAAATCGGGATTTCACAGAATGCAGTAGTAATCAGAAGCCGGATGTGGCAGAATCTAAACCGACGGTAAATAATATCCTAGCTACGATGCAATTTGACGCAAAAACTCTTACAGCTAGGTTCCATTGGCTTTTTTTATAGCATCAACAGAGGATGTCGAATTTTGTGAAATTTTAAATTTATTATATCTTTGTAAATACTGATCTGAATTTAACCATTTTTAGACTGATAATCTGTATTTAACTTTCACAATATCGTAGCTTGCAAGGGCGAGAAAGAGAAATGGGGTTTAACACCCACTCGACGCAAACTAGGTCATTTCAGTACTAACATATGGATCAATTTTATTTTAGTTATTCGTCTGAGCGAAGGTGTCTTTAGCAGTTGGTGGAAATCGGGAGATCCGGAGAACACTGACAAGGTTAACTTTCAAGGGATATGAAAGCACAACTTTAATGTTATGGCAAGTTATTACTTGAAAGTATGTATGATCATGGGAACTGTTTTTTTCCCATATACCAATACAATCTCTTTGCACTACCAGCATTTTGTAATTTATTTTGCTATATTTGAACTTCAAATGCCCTATTTAATAATACCACGTTCTCTAAGATCAGAAATAACATCACCGGATAGAGTTTCATTCGTCTCATTAAAGAAAGACGTTATTCTATAATTCCAGAAGATAAACCAAAGGCTAATAAGGAAGTATATTATAATTATATTTCTATAAGAGATATTCCTAAGGTTATTAAGATATGTAATTTATAACTGTAAATATTGAAATTGTGTATTTGTATAAGAAATGTATAGTTATAAATGTTATCACTCCCTAACTTTTCATCCTAATTACACACCTGCTACAGATAATCTATGATTACTCCTGTCAGCTATACTGCTCAGAAGTAACTTTAGCGTTTTTAAATCAATAAACTGGAGCACACAAGATATATTATTCTTCGATTAAGCTCCAGCTTATCGACGAAGATGACGGCGATGCTCTTCTGGGGCTATCCAAAGAGTAGTCTATATAATCAATCATATGTTCAGTTCCCCCGCACCACTGTCCCTGCGTGTTGGCGCGGGCGGGGAGGGGGAGTTGTTCGAATGTCTAATTTTGAGCGCATTAAACCCCTTTCCTCTCTCAGCCCCCCGTCCCCTGCGTATTCATGTGGATAACAGGTTTATGTACAGCCAACACAGTATAAATTTATAAATTGACATTTGAGATCAATTGTAGTCAAAGAAACTCAACATTTTGCTAGAACTTCCTTAATGCAGTTTCTGTACTCTGAAAGATAGACAAATACAAACTGCGCCACTACTATACAACTTGGTTCAGTCGTCGCATAAACATCGAATAATTTCCGCATCAGGCTGATAAATGCTTTTGATCGCCGCAATGGTAGTACTTGACTACATATTATATCGCTAAAAATAGAAAGTAATTTTGAAAAGACGTATTCATAAATATTGATACAGACTATAAAACCCTGTAAATGATCTATTATAGTTGATTAAATGAGACTTACATTCAATAAATGCACCGTTTATTGGGTAAAATAAACAATTGTCCACTAACTTCATCATATCAGCGATAGAACCTCGTGTGTATATTTAATTAAGTCCCGCCCAATATGACATCCAAACCTTTAAAGCTTACTTTGAAGAATTGAGTCAAATTGTTCTCTGATTAAATTTCCATAATTGTTAATATAGTATTAGCCGTATTCTTTTGTTTATTGATGTTTTTATTGGAGGCATCGTTCTATCTATTATGTTCTATCTTTGGTGTTTCTCATTGACCTGAATCCGTATTCAAATGACACGATGTACATACAGAGATCTTATCACTCTCATCATTAAACTAATGTAATTAATTTTATATGATATCATATTGAAAATAACCCAATTTTAGACTCGCGCTGTGACCTACACGGTCTACACGGGACTAGAGTGTTCTGCCAATCTGAACGATCGGGCTTTTGTCCTTGTCGGGCCCTTCGCCCTGCACCACCGATAAGGGTAAACCGGCGTGGAAATTCCGATGACGTTTCTCGGCTAACACCGATAACCTAGTAAGTGAACCAACGCACAACCCATGAGTAAACCACCGTGGTTCGGGAAAAAAAGAATCTTATTTGAAAGGTGTAAACATTTTCATTGCATGACGAAACTACTATTTTAGTTTATAATTTAAAACGAATCGCAGCTGGTTACTGCACGTGGAATCTAAATTAAATATCGAGAAATTGAGAGATCGTGACTTTCGTCATGATTATAGATGTACACTAATGTTGGGTTTAGGTCATGTTAGAGAAGTCAATTTATAAAAGATAACAAATTCTCTAACGAAAGGGGATAGATTGAGCCTAATTACTTGTAGAATATACATTTAGAAGGAATAATGACTTTTTACATATAAGAGAAACAATGTGGCTTTACATCTTAAAGGAATACTGACTTTATACATCTAAAAGGAATAATGACGTTCTACATCTAAGGAAATAATGTTGTTGTACATCTTAAAGAAATATTGACTTTGTACATTGAAAAGGAATAATGACGTTGCACATCTAAAAGGAATAATAACTGCGTATATCTTCAATAACGTAAACAATAGAATATTAACTACCCGATTGTGTTTTAATAATCTGTGTGGACCAATATTGAATTCTAATTTGTGTTTTTAATTTCAAATATTATGGAAAATATTGAGTTAGAGACTTAGCCCCTTTAACTATGTTCAACCAATTGAAATTATTCAGAATATTATCCCACTAAATACGAATAGAAAACAACTAACGCCAATTCTCGACTGAATAGAGAAAGCCTATTTCAAAGCATATGCTCCTTAATACCACGTCTAGCTACACAATCTTCCAATATACAGCGACCAATGAGTTAAAATATCAAAGTTCAATTTTCACCGAAACACGAAGTCATTGCTCTTAAACAAAAGCCTGGCTGTTGATGGAATTTGATATTGGAAGAAAAAAAACAACTATATAAAAAACGAAACGAAGTATTTGCTTTTTGAGGACGGGAGTTAACAGGACAAACAGAAAATAAAATAATTTGTTAAATTGTTTATGGTTGCTATGATATTAATTTTGGTTGCAGACCACTTATTGGCAAATCCCCATTATTGTATTGATTTGTTTCTTTTTACAATAAATGTATTTATATGACAAGTTAAAGCTGAAATGATGAAAATTTCATGTTAAATTATTTTTTTTAAAAAATGTTTATGCTGGAATAGAGATTAAAACTAATTTGATGTCACGAAATGACGAAAACTACATGATGAACTGGGTTTTTTTTAAACTTTATGGTGGGATATAGGTTAAAACCATTTCATGTTATAAAATGAACATGACAGTAATAAATAACAGCTGGAGATATGTCTTTATTCATGGGCAATAACCGGTCATATGCTGAATTCATAACGAGTTATTGGGGATCACGTGGCTAAGTGGGTAAGACACTGGCTCGCTAGCCTTGAGGTCGGGTGTTCGATCCCTGCATTGGCCGAGAAAGTTCATCCAGATTTTCCGGCGTGGTTTCCCCTTGTCAGTGATGCAGGACGGAGGGCCTGACAAGGACAGCTGTCTAGTCCTTCGGATGAGACGAAAACCGAGGACCCGTGTATACATTGGAATGCACGTAATAGATCCCTTGGCATTTGGAATTCGATATAAGAGTAGGCGATAGTGCCGCTGCCCGAGCAAAATTTCCCTCATAGCACACTCATAACGAGTTAAAACTGGGCCATAAAAATTTATCTTCTGTTCATTTTGAGAATTACTTAAAAGATACATTATGTAAGATTTAGATAAAGAACTAGCCATTCTTGCTATAATAGTTCGAAAGTAGATGATGTAAAATGATTAATTTGAAAATTTCATTCAAATTACT